TCTGCTCATGTTAGCTTTTAGACAATGTTCTGCTCATATTAGCTTTTAGACACTGTTCTGCTCATGTTAGCTTTTAGCTACTGTTCTGTTCATTTTAGCCTTTAGCTACCGCTTTGCAAATGTTAATTTTTAGCTTTTGCTTTTCTTGTTCAGATTTTTAGCTTCTATTTTGCTCATGCAGTATGTAGCCATTGCTCTGCTCATTTGTCCTTTTAGCCATTGTTAAAAAGTTTCCTGTTCTTTTTTGACTTATGGTAAATATTTTTATTTAATTGTTAATTCTCTCTAGAAATTTCATTTCACTTTGACACTATGGATGTTTTTATTGTTTTGTAATGAAGGTTGATGTTTGACCAAGATGGATTTATGACACTAATAAAAGCATCCAGGAGCACGAATCCTGTTAACAGGGAAGTGAAAACTAATGAAGCTGATAAAACACTGTTTAAACTGAAGCCAACATTTAGATTTACTCCTGAAATAAATCTGTCTGAAGTGACTTTTATAAAATTATTAAATATTTGACAGCAACACAACATGCAGGAAACAGGTGAAACAAAAATAAACCAATGATTTGAGCACTTCTCACACCAAAAACACACAATATGCTGTATTTTCCATTAACTACACACAAATCACAATAAACAAATATTTACTGAGAAACTGAACAAACTGGGATTTACAAACGTGACTGAAATCAAATAATAAACCAACAGAGGTTTTAATATAATTGCTTTATGAGATGAAACGGGAGCATTTTGAATCTGTAATTTAACTGGTTATTTGTTGGGATTTTATGGACAGTAATGGGCCAACACAAAACACAAACCAATAAACAACAAACCAAAAGCAAACAGAGAAGTCTCTGCACTGTGGACCTTAAAGGCTGAAGCTTCTTCAGATTGGTTGCTCTGATATGAACTTTGCATAGTGCACATCTGTGAGGTCACATTGTTCTTAAAGTGATGACTCGTTAAAAAAAGTAAAAAGCAACAAGCTTCCTGTGATGCCTGTAAACTCTCTGACAGAACTTGTTCCACCAGTTCTTTTAGAAGATGGTTAAAATCGGAGCAACTGGACCTCTGGAACTCAGATGGAGAAAATGAAAAGCTCAGCAAATGTTTCAAGACTGAAATATTTATGTGATTTCTGAACGAGTTTTCATTCAGGTCTACGAAACAAGAGTGTAAACACTTATAAATGCACATCTTTTAAATCTTTTTAATAATTGTTCAAATAAGGCTTTTTTAAATAAGTCACGTCACAAATTCAGAGACGTGCATGTTTTATAAAATCCCAGGATAAATCGATTTAAATGAAAGATTCTATTCGAACATTAAAAATACCACAGTGTGTGAACAATTTTAGGTAGAATATATAATGAAGTGTAGTACAGGGGTGTCCTGATACCAGAGTACACACAAGTACATACAGTACTTCAGTTTGGGTACTGGCCGATACCGAGTACTTACAGAGTTAGAGCCTAAACATTGCCTACAGCCCCTCTGCCTGGATCAAATCAAATATACAGGTCCTTCTCATAAAATTAGCATATTGTGATAAAGTTCATTATTTTCTGTAATGTACTGATAAACATTAAACTTTCATATATTTTAGATCCACTGCACACCAACTGAAGTAGTTCAAGCCTTTTCTTGTTTTAATATTGATGATTTTGGAAAAAAAGTAAAGAAAAATCAAAAATCACTGTCTCAAAAAATTAGCATATTTCATCCGACCAATAAAAGAAAAGTGTCAGGTCGTGCTGGAAAATGAAATCTTCATCTCCATAAAGCTTTTCAGCAGATGGAAGCATGAAGTGCTCCAAAATCTCCTGATAGCTGCATTGACCCTGGCCTTGATAAAACACAGTGGACCAACACCAGCAGCTGACAYGGCACCCCAGACCATCACTGACTGACAACTCTTCTCGTTTTGCAGCGTTTTCTGCCACACTTTTTCCTTCCCACAGACTTCCCACTGAGGTGCCTTGATACAGCACTCTAGGAACAGCCTATTCATTCAGAAATGTCTTTCTGTGTCTTACCCTCTTGCTTGAGGGTGTCAATGATGGCCTTCTGGACAGCAGTCAGGTCAGCAGTCTTACCCATGATTGCGGTTTGAGTAATGAACCAGGCTGGAAGTTTTTAAAAGCCTCAGGAATCTTTTGCAGGTGTTTAGAGTTAATTCATTGATTCAGATGATTAGGTTAATGAGTCATTTAGAGCAGTGTTTCCCAAAGTTGGGGTCGGGACCCAAAGTGGGGTCCCAAAACATCAAGGTCAAGAAAAGATTTTTGGAATTAATTATATTTTTTGCTGTAGTTGTTACAAAGGAGTGAGGTTAGTATATTTAAAATGGATAAATGTAGTATAAAATATATTGTTACTGTGTTCATGTTTACTGTAGTTGACCTGATACAAATGTTTATCATCCAAAAACAGTTGGGGTCACAGGTCTCTGCTACTGTTATTTTATGGGTCAAAAGCTGAAAGTTTTGGAACCAGTGAACTTTGGTTCCCAAAGTTGGGCTTGGGACCCAATTATGGGTCATGAAGCACCTTGGATAATCTCCAGAAATCAATTTAAAGGRTAATAAAATAATTGCTGATGTAATATTTTCCCTATAAC